GCTAACAAAAACAACATATCCAAAACAAGTCTACGTTATATTGGGCCTATATTGAAAAAAATGTAAACTTTTTAAAAATTCGGCCAAATATATTTTGGCCGTGACTTTTCGAACGTTACGGCCAGGCAAATTTTTATACGGCCAGATTTGAGGAATCTGGCCGTCAAAAGGCCAAATGGCAACCCTGACTAGAAATACAAGATAGAGTTCTTTTCTCCACACAAAAAAAGTGTTCCACCGAAATGCATGGTGGGAATGCAAACAATGGGACGCCCCCTACAGCTGGATCTAAAAAAACTTCTGCCAAACTTTCGTTACCGACGTCCCGCACTGGTATTATGAGTTTTTACCAATCACTTTTTATTTACTAGATATAAAAACAAAACAGTGGAAAATATTATTAGGAAACTGAAAACTCAGTTTTGTATCACATTATTATGCATTTAGATATCTAGGCCTATTTGTTATAAAATAAGCAAATAAATATATTATAAATAAGTTAATTAATTTAAACAGCCGAAATAAAGGTCGAAGGTCAACATAATAATTTTTATAATGATTTTTTTAATAATCAATTACAGAAGCTACATTCATTGTTAAGTAGGAAATCAAATTCTGTAATTTGATTCCCATATTATGGTCAAAGGTCAAAATTGCCCAATAATAACCAATTATAAAAGCTAAAATATGGTATTTAAGCACTTTGGTAATGTTTTTAGGTAATCATCATAAAAAGAATGAATACAAATCAAGCATCTGACAACGGTCAGTTTTACAGAATTTAACAAATAAATTAAATATTGTTAAAGCTACGCTTCGCTTTTTGATGCTTTTAGGGATCGAATCGGCAGTATAATTGGAACTTTCAAGCAGACGTTTTTAAAAGTTTTCTTAAATCTTGATTGCCTCTCTTTTTATTGGTCTGTCTTTCTTATTGCAATAAGATTTTGTGCCCCAATGTTTTAAACATTTAATTGAGATTTGCTATTCATTTATTTATATATCCCTGTCTCAAATATTTTGAAGGGACCCATAGTTGAAAGCTTTGCTTGTGGTTTTCATTTTAAACCATTGTGCTATTTGTAATTCAAAAGAATATGTGGAATAAAATTGATTGATTGGTTAATTATTTGATTAAATGCCCCTGACTAAAGTTTCTGCGGGCCTTACACTACCCGTTTCCGAAGAAACGACTACGTTTCATTTTTTGGTAAAGAGAAAAATATGAGTTCCCATAAAAGATGGTAAACCTTTTTAAAGTTTTTTTTTTCGCAAACCTTAGTAACACTCCAATGTAGGCTACTGTTTCTACAACCAAAAAGCAATGAAAATGCAGAGTATTTTCTAAAACCACTTAAATTATGGCAAGGTAATTGGCTATGGTTATGTGTGTCTGGCATTGAATTCACCAGAAAGTAACTTATATGGATGTGTTACCGGTATCTGGCTCCCAGACCACCATGCAATATTCAGATACTCCGGTAAAATAATCATCGAAAATGTATCAATCCATTAGACTGATATACCTTACCACTTCCTATGGATGGCGTGGAATATTAAGAGAGTGGGTATATTGAATGAATGAGATTAGTGAAGATGTTTTGTGAACATATTCAATGTAAATTGCAAATGTAAACTGAAAACCATGGAAAAAATGAAAAATTAATGAAAATATGAAACAGAGAAAGAAAAATAGAGAGATAATAAACAAAATACTTCTAGAAAAGATACTATTAAAAAAGGTTATGGAGAATAAAAAGAAACACTGTAAACATCGGTAATATTTTTTTTTTAACTGTGTAATTGTGTGTAATTTTCATGTATATCGATAAAATGTGATAATATTTTGAAATAAATTAAACCTTGCTCTATGAGCTTAAATATAGTAAAATAGATGAACGATACAGACATTCACATTCAAAATATTGCAAAATGAGATATCTCATTTTTGCTTATATTGTAATGATTTAAAAACACACAATTATTCTGTCAGTTGCGCATTATCAACATCTTGAATGCAAATGACGATGCTGTATATCCATGAATATAGTGAAAATGTAAACTGAAAACCATGTCTAAAAGGAGGACATATATTAAAAGGTAACCGCTCTGGTAAAGGTCTGAAAGTGCCATTTCCGACCAGGAGAAGTGTACAGACACAAAATTTTGTACTTTTGCGTCAACCATGGTGGGGATAAGGTAGTCTGGGCGGTCCATCTGTACATTTCCTTTCTGTGTTTACCGCCCCTTTAAGACACACATACAAAAAACAGGACTGATAAATTTCTAATAGGCTGCAAATGGATTAAATTCTATATACGTCCCTTCACTAATCAACCAAAACAGAGGATACGGTAACACGCAGCACCCAAAAAGATATTAGGCGAACATGTAATACAGACACACGTACACATTTAGTTGTTTTTACTCCAACAGTAAGCGACTGAGACATTTTTTGTCATTCAAGATACTGAAATCTACTTGCAGTAACTTACTTACTTGGGATACTGAATCTTTACTCATGATAATATTCAGAGCCCAAGCTGTTAACTTTTAATAGGTTGATCTCTAGGTAACTTTCTGGATTGCTCGTTGGTGTTCCCATCATAAAGATTAAATTCACTAGTTGGCAAATGTTTAAACTTCATTAAAATACTTATCTAACATATTTTCTTTACAAAGAATTATATCATCAGCGTATTTTTTTTTAATATTGCATAGTTTCTATCACCTTCATTAATTGTTATAATGTATTTAATGTATATAAATGTTATCTTTTTAGGGAAGAAAATGAATGTGGTGGTACGAGCTGTTTAAATGGACCTAGGAAGAGGAATGTCTTTAAATTTCGCGGCAACAAATGTAATTTGCATTTCTTTTAAAGTTAGAAGCTCCTAGTTTATTATTAAAAATTGATTTAAACCTACTGTTGAAATTTTCTTCTGATAAAGTAGTTCAGAGGACGTAAGGCAATTGTTGTAAACATTTTTGTATTGTATTATTTTACATTTAAATATTATGTTAATTTTGTATAATAAATTTTAGTGAAGAGAGTACCCCACATGAAGCGAAGCGTCAATGTTGCTGATTCGAAATACACCGTATCCCGTATTTACCTTATTTCTTTTCATCATTCTCTATAGAAAATGTACTAAATATATTTGTATTGATTGATGCATATTGATTATTATGTAATTTAATTTTACAGAATTTTATCATAAAAATTGACAAAGCCTTGAGATTATAAGAGGAGTATGAGTTTGCTCCACAGCACATGCCAATTTGGTCTACAACAGAAAGTTGAGTATAAAAATTTGTCAGACGTGCAGATTTGACAGGACAAGGAAAGAAATCACTCTTGAGCAGAACAACGATGGCAGTTGGAAAAAGAACTCCACTTTCAATGATTCTAAAAATCAAGATTTTCTTTTGTGTTAAACCAGCAAGATTTGGTGAGACTTACCAACGTTTCGTGGAATTAGCCATCCACATTCTCAAGTGACGTATCTGCATTTTTGATGATTACAAAATATTGTTCTGTATAGAGTGTATTCTTAGTCAAACCATGTTTGTTCCTGCAATAAAAAGTTCTATTCACATCGACTATTGGCACAGGAATCCAATACATTTTACAACGTTTTTCATACTGTAGTGTACAATTTTCATTTTTTTGTAGGCCTACACGTGAAAAATGCAATTTGGGGATTGTCATCCCAAAACCAGGGTACTGTTTTTGGTATAAGAATGTGGCAGTATTGTATACCTTAGTACAGAGAAGCCGTAATACTTTTACTTAATATACCGTAACTTTGGCAATAGTCAGTCCATTCTAGTAAATGCCCTATCATGGAAGCTTATAATGTATGGCAAACCCATCGGTATTCGATCACAATATCACATTAAAATATGCCATAAGCTATTATAGAAATTAAACATGATAACCCCACGGTATGAATTTCTATTACCTGTGGGCTTAATCCTTTTGTGCAATTAAACACTCTAAAGCCTGGTTTCTATAAAATTGCTAAAGTATTCTCAGTGCAATCGTTACAACGAGTAGCTATTCCCGACAAAATCGGAGAGCCTCCCCGACACGACCGACCAATTATTATGGAACTCTCTTCCACCTAATCTTGATCAACTTCTGATACTAATGCATTCAAGACCCTCCTTAAAACCTATCTCTTTAATCAATAACTCTTTTATCAAATAATTTTTTCTAACAGGCGCTATACAAATACTCCAATTATTTATTATTTATTAATTAAGCCTGGTTTATATAAAAATCGCTACACAGTCGCTACAGAGTTTTCTGAGCTGTCCCCGACGAAATCGAGAATGCTCCCTGATTCAACTGACCAATCAGCGTCGCCAAGTCGGCTGTAGGATGTTGAGCAATTTTATGGAAACTCAGCTTAAACCAAGCTTGAGCGCCGTCGAAAGCTGTCGGCGATAGTGTGTAGCGATTTTATAGAAACCAAGATCTGTAAAACGTTTAAACGCAAGTGCGGGATAAATTTCTCAATCTATATGTGGCAAAGACAAGCCAAACCAGTCACTCGTCGCAAATCGTGTTTCAGAGAAAATGGCCAAAACATGCTGGAATGTCAAATTTTTTAAAATCTATTTTATTGCATTAAACTAATCTTTATATATCTACACATCATTCTATGCTGTTATTTTCCCCATTTTCAATGTTAAAACAATACTTTTTAAGGATTTAAAGATAGTTTCTGCATGAGAAATGCCTGTAATCATAAACTTTGACGGTTAATTTCTCATATATTGTTCTTTAAACAGCTGTGTGGTTAAACGCTTGTAACTTCATAAGGAAATGTCCGATTTGAATTATTTTTTTACCATTCTCTAACACTGTATTAATTACTCAAAATCGATTTTTGCGACGAGTGACTGGTTTGGCTTGTCTTTGCCACATATCTTTAAAGTGCATAGCTTCTTCTTTCATAATTAATTATTCATAATTCTATTATAATATTTCAACTTGGATATTTGATATTAGATTTGTTATAAACTTAACAATAGTCTTATCTATTACGAATATATTGTAAGATTGACTGTTAATCAGAGCATGGACAAGATCTATCCATATTATAACCCAGACTTTTACCATAATTACTGGCATGAAGTTAAATCTTGTCTTTTAGACATATTAGACACAAGCTATACTTCTTACTTCCTGTTAACATTCTTAATAAATTGTTATCGTACATTATAATATAGATATGAACAGTCATATTCTTCCATATTTTTCTACAATATGAGCATTGCAGTCACTAAATAGTTTTCATGCCTTATAGTCGATGGAGGCACTGGTTTGCATTTTAATCTTTTGCATGAAGTTCTAATTTCATTACTCTGAATTCTGTCACCATAGTTTCAGAATATGTGTACAACCCTGAAAACTATCTTTGGTTGGTACTTTATGTTCATCCAACTCAACGTGCTTCTTGAGACTTGAGTTGGATGAACATAGTGTATCAAACGGAAGAATCAGACATCAAACACTGGTGAAAGGTTACTGCACTGAAGATTCAGACATCAAACACTAGTGAAAGGTTACTGCTTTAGCTCCCTGGGTACAAGACGCTTCTTTTGACTATTTGGATACAGTAACCTCAGTGGGCTATGTGTATAAGAAGTTTATAGCATCGTCGATTAGTAATTTATGTTTATATCCAATCGAAATTCCTTTTTATTGCTTCAACCAGTAATATATAATTTTTAATTCTCCATAAATGGTTTTGTTTGCTTATCCAACTAAATCCTTGGAAAATTTCTCCTCCTCCCCAGTTTAGCCACCCCCAACCCCAAAAAACCACAATTCGCCTGGGCGAAGAAAAAAAATGTATTTTTTACATATTAGTAGACTATCTGTATATAAAATCGATTAAATAAGCCTGTGAAACCCCTAAATTGTCATGTTTTTCGGGAGATCCGCCCCTTTCCCACTTTCTATCTATTTCAATCGACACCCGACCACGCCCACTTAGCTCTCGTGGGGAACCTTCTTTCTCACTATTGCTGGAATAATGTCGATATCTTCTAGCAAACCTCTTCCGTCGTTGGGGGTGTACTAGAGATATTCAGGTATATATAATATATATTCCTATTATCAGATGGGTGATATCTGTTATAAATAGGTCAAACTGTCTTCGATTAGTATTCTATATTTATGCAACTGCTTTTCGGGATTTTAATGAATTATTTTGCTCAGGGAATAGATACATATACTGTACATTTTTATGAAACTGGTTTGATATTAAATTCTCCCATAACCTGCATTTCGTGATTAATACGGAAAATGAACAAGGATTTTGATTTGAATCCACCCTGATGTCTTCTCAAATAATGAGCTAAAATATTTGGTTAAATGTACGCTGTAGGATTATTCTTAAAGTACGCCTAATTTCAGAACCTGTGGTAAATCTCTCAAAAAGGTCTTCTTTTTTTCACAAATTTTATCTTGATCACCTGGCTCGTCTAAATCTAAATCTAATAAGTTACTCATCAACGCCTGTTCAGCATCTGGATGAGTTCATGCGTTGTGTCCTAAGCAACGATCGGAATCAAGTGCTCTTGTTATCTCAATAATGTGCTGCGTATAATAATTATTATTATTGTTATTGATATTGTTCATTTTAAGTTATTTAAGTTAGATTAGTTCAGTTTATTATTTTATAATAATTTGGCTTGAAGTAGACCATTTATTATTTCAATTTCGGCTCACAGTGATTCTTATATTTTATTTATGGATTCTTTTCATTACTTACCACCTTCATTTTCCCATATTTCACACCACTTTCATTGGCAATCTTTTCTTTCCATTTCTTTCCTCTCTTGCCCTTTTTCCTTTTAGTAAATTTCCTAATTTCTTTCCTTTTCCTTTTTTAAATTTCTTATCATTTAATTCCTTTTCCTTCCTATGTTTCTTATCATTTCATTCTTTTTCCTTTCTTGTGTTTTTTCATATTTCTTTCATTTTCCTTTCTTTATTTCCTTGTTACTTTTCCTTTACTTTCTTATGTCTCACATTTCCTTCCTTTTCCTTTTTTTGTTATCATGTATATGTGAGATTCCTAACTCAGACATTTATGAATTTGGAGACCAAGGTACGTTTGTTTGGAACAGCTCGTAATATCGCCCTTCAATGTTATAATTATGTATAACAAAGTTTTGTTTTCGGTTTATTCTTAATAAGTAGCATTTCTTTGCATTAAATGACATTTGCCATTTTCTATGCCGACAGCTCTAGTAAGCTTAAGTCATCCTGAAGTGCATCAGCTTTTTCGTGGGAGGCAACAGTTCTGTATAATAAGCAGCCGTCTGCAAATAGTTTAATTTTCGATGATTTTAAATTTACATTGATATACAGTAAAACGTCAAAGGTCCCAAAACTGTGCCCTGAGGTACTCCGACCTCACACGTACACCCTCTAAGTTTCTCCGTCAATGATTACTTTTTGCCTTCTGTTTGTCAGCCATTTAGATATCCATGTATATTTTTTGTCTGTTATTCCATAAAGGTGTAGTTTGTGTAGTAGCCTTTGAGTGCAACTTTGTCAAATGCTTTAGAGAAGTCTAGCAGTATGGCATCAGTTTTTTTTCCGCGGTCTATGTTTCGTGTTAGTTCTTCTAAAGTATTTATTATTTGTCTCTGTGGAGTGTTTTTGTCTAAATCCGTGCTAATAGTTAACTAATATATTTTTGTTCTCAATGTGTTCCATAATTGATGAGAACATTATATGTTCCATAATTGTTCTTATAACACATGTTAAAGACACGGGTCTATAATTAGCCGGCAAATTTGTATTCCCTTTTTTTAAAAACTGCTACAATGTTTCCTGACAGCCAATCATCAGGAATGTCTCCGGATTCGAAGGATTGACTAAATAAGTAAATAAGTAGTATAGGAGCAATTTGTGAGGCTATTTCCTTAAGAATTCTTATTGGTATGAGATCAAGACCACATGCCTTGCTTGGATTAAGGTTTTTCTAACAACTTCTCAATTCCTTCCGATGAAAATCGTACATGTGGCATAGCGACGTACGGACTGTCGCCAAGATTGGTAGGATATTATAGAGATTCTATTTAGTGAACTTTAGTTTATTGAGAGCCTCAGCTACCTCATGACTCGTGATGGCTATCCCCTGATCAGCTTGTAGAGTGGGTATTCTGCAACAGTCTTTCCTTTGGTCTTTAATAAAGCTCCATAACTTCTTTTGTGACTTGCGTGTTGTGTTCTTCAAAATACCTTCTATGTATTCGTCATACCCCCATTTCTTAACCAATCCATGTCCATTTTTTTCACATCGGCTATGCTTAATAACAGTATCGAGTTCTATTGCAACGGCGTCATGGTGAGATATGCCTAGGACAATCTCTATTTTTCTAATCTGATCTGAAAATGTGGTAAACGCTAGATCGAGAATACTTTCTCCAAGCGAACACTCGTGCCGTATTTGACTTAGCAGGTTATCCTTAATAACTCTCTCTCTCCCTCTCTCTCTCTCTCTCTCTTTACACATTCTTCACCCTATTCAAACCTTTGGTATATTTCTTCTAGATCTTTAGATTGACCATGTAAAAAAGATGGGGTTCAACTTGTCCAACATTTTAGGTATCTAATACAATCCTGAAGTTCGAATATAGGTGTTAATTTAAGTTAGTCATCTGTTATTGGTTGCAGAAAAACTATTAACATAATTTTCCAAAACTAGACATGTATAGACCACTAGATATGACAACCCGGGTAGTGCCCTCGTGGTAACTCGGCTGTAGACCTATCGTTCTGAACGGTCTTCTCAATTTGTACTTTAGGCCTATGTTCCTCCTATTCCAATTGATTAATAGAAGTGTATGGAAATTCTGATGTCTTATACCAATCTCTTACGCCGTTGGGGTGTATTAAAGATATGCAGGCATACACTCCTAATATCGGCTGGTTTGATCTCTGGTAATCGAGCAATTCATGATCAAATTCTAAGCTATCTAAGCTATAACACTCATCATGTTGATAATAGCTGTTGAAGAGAGGAATTACTGATGAAGATATACGTCATGTTTATTATTACTTCTCTCCAACCTAACATTGCACAGAAAGTGCGAGATTTATGTAACACTCATCATGTTGATAAAAGGTGCCCTTGTTTCGTTAGGCTTTTCATTTATTCCTAAAATGGTGACCCGACGATCAACGACGTGTGAATACAACCGACATGAGTATAGCCGGCGTTCAATTATACAGAGATAAAAAAACCGATACGAGGACACTCAAGAACTCTGCTCAAGGTTAAAAACATCACCTACACAAGGGTTAAGGGGACTGCCAGCAAATTTGAATTGCTGATTGACAACGTAAGGCAAGAATGTAATTCCTCTGAAACCTCCAAAAACATGTTTGAGGCTGATTTGGGTAGCTATCCAAATAGCACTCATCATCTTGATAATAGCTGTTGAAGAGGGGAATTACTGTTGAAGACAAACGTTATGCTTATGTTTTTACTTCTCTTCAATCTAACATATTGGTATTGAGACGAGGCGAGGTAATTACAAAGATCAAAAACAGATACGGGGAAGTGCAAGAACTATGCTCAAGGGTAAAGACATCACCTACACAATGTTTAAGGGGACTGCCAGCAGATTTTGAATCGCGGAGTTGCAACGTACGGCAAGAATGTAATTCCTCCGAAACCTCTAAAAACATTTTGCGGCTCATATGCTATCCAAGATGCAACACTCCTAAAAAGGAGAATTACTGTTGAAGATACACGTCATGCTTATGTTATTGCTTATTGCTAACGTCGATAAACCTGTTTGTGGCTTATTTGGGAAGCTGTCCAAGATGTAACACTGATCATGTTCATTATTGCTGTTACATGATCAGTGTTACATCTTGGACAGCTTCCCAAGATGTAACACTGATCATGTTCATTATTGCTGTTGGAGAGGGGAATTACTGTTGAAGATATATGTTATGCGTATGTTATTTCTTCTCTCCAACCTTAAATTGCACAGAAAGTTTGAGATTTGTGTAACACTCATCATGTTAATAATAGCTGCCCTGGTCTCATTAGGCTTTTCATATTCCTAAAGTGTTGACCCCGACGAGCAACTACGTAAGTATAACCGGCGTGATCCGTGAAGAGAGACGAGGCGAAGCAATTACGGAGTTCAAAAACAGATACGGGGACGTGCAAAACTTTGCGAAAGGTTAAAGACATTACTTACACAAGGGGTTAAGGGGGCTGCCAGTGGATTTGAATCGCAGAGTGGCAACGTACGGCAAAAATGTAAGTTCTCCAAAACCTCCAAAAAACATTTTTGTGGCTAATGTAGGAAGCTATCCAAGATGTAATGCTTATCATGTTGATAATAAATGTTGAAGAGGGGAATTACTGTTGAAGATACACATTATGCTTTTGTTGTTGCTTCTCTCCAACCTAACATTGCACAGGAAGTGCGAGATTTATGTAACAATCTTCATGTTGATAATAGCTGCCCTTATCTCATCACGCCTTTCATTTATTCCTAAAGTGGTGACCCCCCAACGACGTGAGTATAACCGGCATTATCCGCGTGTGAAAAGAGGCGAGGCAATTACAGAGATCAAAAACAGGTACGGGGACTTGCAAGATTCAAGAACTGTGCTCAAGTTTAAAAAACATCAACTACACTAGGGGTAAGGGTGCTGCCAGTGGATTTGAATCCCAGAGTGGCAACGTACGGCAAAAATGTAATTTCTCTAAAACCTCCAAAAAACATTTTTGCGGCTCATGTTGGAAGCTCCATAACGTGCAGGAAATATGCTCAGTGTTAAAGACATCACCTACACAAGTGTTAAGGGGGCTGCCAGCGGATTTGAATCGCAGATTGGCAACGTAAGGCAAGTTCCTCTGAAACCTCCTAAAGAATGTTTGCGGCTTATTTGGGAAGCTATCCAAAATATAGCACTCATCATGTTGATAAAAGCTGTTGAAGAGGAGAATTACTGTCGAAGACATACGTTATGCTTATATTATTGCATCTCTTTAACCTAACATTGCACAGACAAGGAAAATTGAGGATGAGATCGATGAATTTCATGGCCACGTTGGAAGAGCTGATGAAGTAATTATTGGTGTGAGACGAGGCGAGGCAATTACAGGGATCAAAAACAGATACGGGGAAGTGCAAGAACTATGCTCAAGGTTAAAGACATCATCTACACAAGGTTTAAGGGGACTGCCAGCAGATCTGAATCGCAGAGTGGCAACGTACTGCAAGAATGTAATTCCTCCGAAACCTCCAAACACATTTTGCGACTCATGTAGGAAGCTATCCGAGATACAACACTCCTAAACAGTGGAATCACTGTTGAAGATACACGTCATGCTTATGGAGGTATGCAGTACTCTGAAAAGATTTGGCGTATAGTACGCAGAACCTCCGAAATCGGAGGTTTGAATAAAAGTTTGAAAACTCCGATTTTGGAGGTTTCGCGCACCTATAGTACGCGAAACCTCCAAAATCGGAGCTTCCCATAAAAGTTTAAAAACTCCGATTTTGGAGGTTTTGCGTATAGTACGCAAAGTACGGTAAATTTTGTCACGAAATATGAACCCAATTTTTTCCAAATTTTACCCATGCTAACTGTATTCTTCTCTTAACTTCTGCAGTGGTGTCATCCTCCATCCTTATCTTCTTGCCCAAGTATACATAACAGTCTACATTTTCAATTGTCATTCCATCTAGTGTTGTGGTACTACCTGCTACTACCTCTTTACTGAACATAACCTTGGTTTTACTGATGCTGATGTTTAGTCCAGCTTTATTGCTTTCTTCGTTCAATTAATGTAGCATTATCTGAACATGACTAAACAATAGGATGTCATCGGCAAATCTTAGGTTGTTTAGGTATTCACCGTCGTTCTCCTATATTCCCTTAGCACTCCAATCCAGATTTCTAAAAATGTTCTCCATCACTGCAGTAAACAGTTTTGGTGAGATTGGATCTCCCTGTCTTACCTGTCTTCAGTATTTTAAATATTCCTGTCGAACTGTTCAAATCGATGTGTACTCTTGCACAAGCTTTTTTATTAAGAGCCCTAATGATGTTAATGTATTTGCTATCTGTGATCTGCCTTTCAAGAACTTGAAGTAGTTCTTGCTGACTGATGCTGTCGAATGCTTTTTCATAGTCCACAAAGCATAGACTGATGGGAAAGCTATACTCTTTTGACTTCTCTATAAGCTGACTTAAGACCTGTAGATGGTCTGATGTTGAAAAATCTGCCCTTAATCCTGCTTGTTCGCTTGACTGGTTTTCATCCAGTTCTCTCTGCATTCTAGTGAGGATGATTCTTGTAAAAAGCTTGTATACGTGTGATAGAAGACTTATCGGTCTTATCTTTACGTTTCATTAAAGCTTCAGACGAGATAGAATTGACCAGATTTTTAGGCCACATAGACTATTATTATATCAGGGCACCTAATTTACTCACAATAAGATAGTAATGTGCGACTTTGCGGCATTCGTCCTCGTACAATATGCCTGATGCTATTAAAGAGCATATTGGACATTTGTCCCTAAAAGACAGTTTGTATCTGGGACTTGTATTAGCCTCCGTGGTCACCATGACTGGATGCTTCTCTCGTTATCAAAAAGCTAAGAGTGCTGCTTTCATAGAAAATTTGAAAAGATGGTGCCACAGGAAGCTTTGATTCTACACGATGGTCAATGGAGTTCTATTAATGCCGAGAATGTTGTTGTTGGTGACATCGTTGTGGGAGAAGTGGAGATTGAATTCCTAATGACATCCGCATAAATCGAAGCAAGACTTTGAAAGTGGACAATTTCTCACTGAGTGGTGAATCTGAACCTCAGTATTGTGACCAGCGTTCACAAACGATAATCCACTTGAAACAAAAATTATTTTAACTCTGTCTCCGTGATGATTTACGTATATTCTCCATAAATTTCTAACTTTTTGTATTCCAATAAGGTTGTCGCTACTTATGATTTCACACAAGGCGAAATAGATTGTCTCCTCTGTGAGGAAATCGTCATTACTTTTGCGGGCGTCATCATCCTTAAAGAATGTTGGCTTGATGCTGGTCATCGTCGGGTCCTTTTGTTTGGCAGACGTGACGTCATTTACATTGTGATCGCTGACAGCGTGATTGTTGATTACATCATCTGATGTACCTTCAATCGTTTGATTAATTAAATGGGTGTCAATAGCATTGTCTTGGGTGGTGCGCCCATTGCTTGTTCTCGCGGGAAAACCACTCGGCCTAGACATGTTCCCAAATTAAAAACTCCAGAAAAGGTGAAAGTCTTGTCAAATTTTCCGAAACTGATACGTGTTTCTCGAATCCAATATCATAACAGATAACTAGTACTCATTAACAATCAATGTGTATGTAGGAACTAGCATAAAAAAGGTAAACATTAAATTTTGTAAAGGTCTCTCTAAGATAAGTTTGTAATGCGGTGTGGATAAATAATACGGTAGTTAGATGTAATCACAAAGTCTAGTATTAGAAGAAAGTCACTCTAAGGAAAACGGCAACTCCGCTATTAATATGGATTTAATGCTCGATCTCCCTTGCAATAGGAGTCTCTCCTACATCAAGTCCAGATGCTAAGTTAGCAATACGTCCTGTAACTGCATTATCACTACACTGAATTACAATGCCCTTTGCTGCATTGGTAGAGGAAAAGCGATGCTTCTTGTTTCAAGTGGATTATCATTCGTGAACTCTAGTCACGATACTAAGGTTCAGGTTCACCAGTCTAATAGTGCCATAATACAGTACAGTACTTTGACCAGTACTTCTTGTAAAGGTCGCTCTAAGATAAGTTTGTAATACGGTGGATAAATATATAGTTAAATGATGATCACAAAGTCTAATACGAGCCCCCAAACAATGCTTCCGTTCTCATGTGATCATTGTTATGTTCCCCGTTCCTATATTAATCGTTACCTACACGAGTCGAATAAATAATCTGGTACACATACGTGGGTCTCAACAAGTGTATACTGTTTATTGTGTATCCACCCTTATTACACACATCACAGCAGCAGCAGCAGACTCGGATTCATCCCAGTTGTCATTGTCTCTCACCGCCGGAACACTCTCTTGTCCAGCTTTGAAATCTGATCGATTACAGAGAATAGCAATACGGGTAAATTCTTGCCGGGTTAGATATTAATTGCTCGTAGTACCATCGCCATATTTATCTTTATCAGCATCATTGAATTGGCAAACCACAATGGACCTTTCCGCTAAGCCCCGCCCCTTGGATATTGTTGCTAAGGTCCCACAAGACGACAGTGTTAAAACATACGCGAACACGTGCGTTTGTGGGACAACACGTGTGTTTGTGAGACGCGCGCGTATCCCTAGCGCTGTTCTGATTAGTCAGTTGATAAGTTTGATTGACACTCCGGAAAGGTCTATTGAGCCACTTTTTCAGCTTTGAGTGTCAATGTTCCTGTTTTATCAAAAGAAGTGGTTGAAATTGACCCTAAAGTCTCTACAGCTTCTAAGTTCCTCTCAGACAATTCTTCTTAGCCATTCTTTTGGCTGTTAGCGTCAACCACACGGTGACAGTAGCAAGGTCCTCTCACTGGTAACAATAATGCCAATCAAAAAGACAACAGCGCCAAATAATGTGTAGTCCACCCCGAATGAGAGGAAGAAGAAAGTCACTCCAAGGAAAACGGCAACTCCGCTAATAATGTGGATTTAATGCTCGATCTCCCTTGCAATGGGTGGTTCCCGGCTACATGAAGTCCAGTTGCTAAGTTAGCAATACGTCCCGCAACTGTATTATCACCTGCACTGAATTACAACTCTTTGCAATGCCTTTTACTGCATTGGTAGAGAAAAAAGCGATGTTTCTTGTTTCAAGTGGATTATCGTTCGTGAACTCTGGTCACAATACTGAGGTTCAGATTCACAAGTCAGTGAGAAATTGTCCACTTTCAAAGTCTTGCTTCGATTATGCGGATATGTCATAAAGAATTCGATCTCCACTTTTTACCTCTACGATGTCACCAACAACATTCTCGGCATTAATCAGGGGCGGATCCAGAAATGTCCAAAAGCGGGGGGTGGGGGGCGATTGAGACAACACTGTTGTAAGGAGTCCGAAATTTTTGTGTTCTAGACGCCCGAACATAACATTTGAGGCATTCTTGGCCATCATTTTTTTCTTTTTCTCTTTCTTTTTTCATTTTTTACCTCCCAAATGGGGGGACCGGGCCGCCCCCCCCCCAAATCCGCCCCTGTTAATAGAACTCCATTGACCATCGTGTAGAATCAAAGCTTCCTGTGGCACCATCTTTTCAAAGTTTCTATGATAGCATGCAGCACTCTTAGCTTTTTGATAACGAGAGAAGCATCCAGTTAAATGATGATCACGAAGGCTTATACAAGTACCAGATAAATGCTGTCTTTTACGGACAAATGTCCAATATGCTCTTTAATAGCATCAGGTATATTGTACGATGACGAATGAAGCAAAGTCGCACATTATTATCTTATTGTGTGTAAATCAGGCGCCTTGATACGATAATAGTCTATGTGGCCTAAAAATCTGGTCAATTCTATCTCGTCTGGAAAAACCCCGATAAATGTATTCTTGTGTAAGAAATTATAATCTAATTCAGCTTTAATGAAACGTAAGGATGTTCTCGTACTTCCTGTGTAAACAAATAGGCAGGTCTTTCGAACCAAAGTTAATAATGGAACCAAACGGACGCAATTGATGAAAAAACACTGCCTTTAAAATGTTCAAAAGTATTATCACTTTTCATTAGGTGGAATTTTTTGTGGATATCCATTAACAATTGCTTACTGTACTCGCGCAAATAAGCGCCCCCTTGATGTTTCTTTTTGTTTTTTGTTTATTTTTGTTTTGTTTTTTGTGTTTTTTTTTTCATTTAAAAAAAAAGTATAATGTGATTTTTTTTTTCCAAATCCAATCAATCTTGGGCATGATTTGATATGCAGAGTTAATTTGCATTTACTTTTTTTGTCAATTTCAAAATAAGGATACTTTCCTGGACAGACTAGAGCTCCCTGGACAATATCTTTCCAACTTTCCTCTTCTTTTTACTTTGTCTAGGCCTACTTTTCTTTTTCTTTTCCCGACAATTTGCACCCGGTTAGCACGCTTTCATCTGAGTTTGCAAGAAGCCCTGCGATGATTCTGCTAATCTCAAACGGCAACCAACTTGTTAAAGAATAAGGCCTACTCGAAATATTAATATACTGTATAAGCTTCTCAAAAATCTGGCACATAGTGATTTTAGACGTAGACATTAGTTTATAGTCGCTTGGTTGTCTTACCTTATGCAGTGGCGTTACAAAGAGCTTTTTGGTCCCTGTTCCTATGGGGCACGGCCCCTCTGTTCCTATGGGGCACGGCCCGGGGGCAAAGCGCCAATGCATATAATGATATGAATATTTTTTAATGTCTGGCTTGAAGCTTCTGGTCTAGATCTCTCGTCACATAATCCTCTCGAAAACAATGTATCTATCTGTATCTCAGTCACTTCATTAAGTTAATGAAGCCTTTCTAGATAGTATTAAAACTTTCAGTATAAGGAATCCACTGAAGAATGTTGTTTTTGAACCTCCATATTACCCTTAAGCCCTGTCAAAATTTATTTGACAAAAACATGCGATATGCCTAAAACTAATGTGATCATCATGACCATATATATGCACATCATGACTATATATGGGCATACAATTTTTTTTTTTTGTCAAAGAAAATAATCTGGACAGAACTTTATAATAATTCTCCATTTGAATTAAAATCCCATATATTATATTAAAGATACATAATTAGTAAAGATGCATATTGTTTTCTATGTATGTTATATGTAGTGAAATATACAGTATACTATATATACAATCAGTAATTTCTGGTTATAATTATGTTTCTTTGTAAGCGAATATCATTGAAAATAAATTTAACTCTAAATTTTGAATTTGTTACTTTTCTAATTTTTAAGATCATCCTGTAAAATCTGATATTGCTAGTGTTGGTTGTCTTGTTTTGTGCCAGGCTTTCTGGCGCACTAATAATACGAATAATCTTTTCTGACCTAGAGCTCCGTCCAACTATCTAGCCTCTAAATGCTTTATAATTGAGGCTGTGAGGTGTTGAGTCCAGAATACAGTATTAGCAGAATGAATAAAATAAGTTTAATGAAAGAATGAATGAAATAAGTTTGAATTCAGGCTCAGGAAAAAAAAAATTTTTTTTTTTGGTTGAGCCAGTTTTATGTTTTTCATCATTTTTTTCAACACTTTTTGTTTTATGTGAAGCGAATAGAAGCTTCTTTCATTACGCGCTATATAAATGTATTATTATTATTATTATTATTATCATTATTTAAACAATCATTCTGTGAATCCTAGTTGAACTATAATTTAGAAAGACCTTAGCAAATGAAAGTCAAACTACCTTTCAAATAAATAAAAAACATGAGCCAATAATAATTTTGTTTATAGGACGTGTTTGCATCAGCCGCGAATACTGAATGCCTATACCTATACTCTGCTGCTCCTTTCGCTGTACTGTACTAACGTAATTTGAATAATGAATTCCCACATGTGTTGCTTTTGTAGCGTGACATCCTCGTCCAATATTTTGTAGATTCGTAAAATTGTTTTTTTATGATATTTTAAGACATAAATAGGAGCTCAAAATATGCCAGTAATAAGACATTTAAAAGAATAGTACTACGATATATTTCTTCCAGTGCTGTGCACGCCTGGACAAACATAAGGCCTTACTTAATTTATAATACATACCGGTAGTGACAGTACATATCTTGTCATTTTGGCATATATGCGAATAATATTATTAAGTTTATATGTCTTCTTCAACATTTATAAAAAACGTTTGTAGTTGGATGAACATAAAATACCATTTAAAGATTTTTCCAAACTCTACTTAAAATAATGCGTTCATAAAGACATTAATTATTTCCTGTGTAATTAGACGAGGCTGGTGGAATAACAATAAATAATCTGGTTCTGGGTGAAAAGGGAGAGGGAGAGGGGAAGGGGGAGAAAGAGGGAAAAATTGGTGAATCTTCCCATGTGTCTTTTTTTACTGTCTTCCCTTGTTTGCTCGTGTCATTTATGTCCTTTGGTTGGATCGTGCTTTTTGATGTTCTGATTTTTCTCTGTTGTAAATTTCTGCCATCCCAATTTTTTACTTCATTTTAAATATCTTTTTTAAAACTTATAAATCTTTAATTTTTCAAGAACTTTGAGAATGTTTTAATAAGCTCACTTGTGTATTTATTTGTAATAATTGTTAATACTTCTATAGTAATAAATGAAAATAATAATTTTTATACTTATATTGTAATAAATGAATATAATAACAATTGTAATATAATTAAATAATTAAATAATAATCACAATTGCAATTTGAATATTTTGAATGATTTCCTGTTCAATGTACTTTTTTTGTTAATTTTTTCTCAATTCAATTTTGTGAACTGCAATGAAAAAGTTTTATTTGAATAAAGATACCTTGATATATTATGATGTAAGTTTGAAAAAAAGATATTATGCGTGGATGCGTGGCAACACGAGAATCGAAGGTTTTAAAACCCTTGAATTGATATGCGAGCATCTCAACCACCGAAAGCTCCACTTCAGTTTATTTAGGCCTTATATCGACAACAGACAGGTGATCAAGGTGAAACATCCAGACCACCTCACATTTCTCCAAAAGCTAATCTCGAATCGGATAGCAAACTGTTATTTTGAAAACAGTCTGGTGCTGACATGATACCAAATGTATAATCTTACCGTAAACGAAATGAACACTTATAAATTATATGAAGATTAAAATATAAGTGTATAAAAGTTGCAGTGTTTAACATCCATAATGATAATGTTTTGTAAAATCATATTTTAATAAGCAAATTAACCAATACAATTTTAATCAGCATGAGAACTGTTATTGTGTCTTATTTATTTTGGTTGACCAACATACCTGGACCTTTTTCACAGTTCCCTGATTATAACTGTACATTATATACACAACAAAATGCTGTACCAGAAAGAAACTAGTTCCTCATTGTACATGTACAGAAAGATATACTTTCTGCCAAGAATATCTTAAAAACCTCCTAAATGTATAAATTAAAGTTCAAACTTCAAATTACACACAAATAAAAAAAAAAATTGTATATTATAGGAAAGAGATTGACATTGTTTATGCATCCACTAATTAAAGTTAATAAATATTGTACACAAAATTTAAATATATACAACTTTTTTTCTAGTTTGTTAACACAAAAAATATAATATAAAAAAATTATGAATTTGCAGACAGAAAAATGATTGTTATTACTGTTTATCAAGCTGGTAAAAAAAAAGTTGGTGAACTCAATACAGTGTTAAGTTGGAAACCTGGTGTTATTATCCCTTTTGAGGCAACTGAATAAATATATAGTTGCATATACAACACAGGAATATGCAGGCTGGTAACAAGCCTATTCAATAATTCATAGGTACACATTCACAAAGTATGGAAATGGTTTGCAAATTGCTAACCAACACCCCCCACCCCCCATCCTTCATCCCAACTGTTATCTACATATTTCTACATATTATTTCATTATACACATTTTCTTCTATGTTACATTAAAGCTTTAATATGAACAGAGATATTCACCATATGTGGCAAAGACAAGCCAAACCAGTCACTCGTCGCAAATTGTGTTTCAGAGAAAATAACAAAAACATGCTAGAATGTAAAATTTTTAAAAATCTATTTTATTTCACTAAACTGAGGTTTATGTATCTATACATCATGCTGTGCTGTTATTTTTCCCAATTTTAATGTTAAAACAACACTTTTTAAAGATTTTATGATAGTTTCTGCATGAGAAATGCCTGAAATCATAAACTTTGAAGGCTGATTTCTCATATATTGTTCTTTAAACAGCTGTATGCTTAAATGCTTGTAACTTCATAAGGAAATGTCAGATTTGAATGATTTTTTTAGCATTTTATAGCTTTTATTTTACTCTTTAACCCTGTATTAATAACTCAAAATCGATTTTTGCGACAAGTGACTGGTTTGGCTTGTCTTTGCCACATATAATGTCATATGCCTATATATGGATGTGGTATGACATCAACATTTCCATATGGGTCTCCATTATTTTCGACCTAAATTATTAGCATCAGACAATTTCAAATCCTAACTACAGGTCTCCCTCCAAATAAAAACCACTTTTGGGACTGGGTTTCCAAGGTCTTCAGCAGTTTTGGTCTCTAATTAGAATAAAGATATTTTTTACTTCAGGACTAAAGGTCTTTAATTGGAAGGGTCTTTAGTTAGAGGGAGACCTGTAATTTTAAAAGATAGTATGAGGTGCTGCTTGAATGGTTATTGTGATTTTGCTCAATTCTCAATGCTTCTTGGCAGCAGCTAGCTGTTTCTTAAGTTGTTGAAGCTGGGTCTTCCTGTCATTATGGCAACCTGAAATAAACAAGGAAAATCCACCTTTTGATTACATTGTGAACCTATGACCTAATCAATGCTTGTACTTGTAACTCTCCACCTGTGGATGTTCATCAGTAAAAACAATCCTGTTTTTTGCAAGACAGTAATCCAGGGTCTTAATATATATAACAAACAGCTTAGCTGAGTCGGCTAATCTGGTGGTAGCCACTGTGTGTGCGCTGAAGCGTGGAGATCTCTAAGTCTCCGGTTCAATTTCTATCGCTGCCTCTTCTTGTGTTTCAGCTGGAGGGCTGAAATACGAGTTACAATAGCGCACCGTATTTCGGATAAGACGTTTAAGCCATTGGTCCCGTGTGCATTTATGGCCCATGTGCATGTTAAAGAACACAGTACACTCTTCGCAAAAGAGTGAGAATTGTCTCACGGTGTACTGCCCAATCACCACCAGACTGGAAATAAGTCTTCTTCTAGACTTTCATGGGCTATCCTTGGTGTTTACACCGAATAAATCCAATCCAATCCAATTCAAGGAGTCCAGGGTCCTAAGAGTGTTACAAACAACCTTGAAGGACCTTCATAGAGTGTCAATCATACTTAACAACTGACCAATCAAAACAGGGCACATGAATATGCATGTGTCCTACAAACAAAGGTGTTGTCCCACAAATGTATGTGTGTGATATTTTTAGTGTCATTTTGTGGGACAACAATATCAAAAGGGGCAAAGCTTAGTGGAAAAAAATTGAAAACAAAAGTAAAAAATTAAAATTTAGGTCTAAGAGGCAAATTTCCAGCCATCTAGAGGTGCTAAATCCATAAAGTTTTGTACTTCCACTTTAAACATGGTGAAGTCGAGGTGGTTTAAACCATCCATCTGTAGAAGTCCCTACCTGAGCCCCCCTCTATTTCGATCCAGCACTACCACAAGTAACAGACTAAGCCCTACCTAGGAATGTATTTGTTGAGTATGTTGGTGGATTGATGCAATCCGCTCCGCCATCGTCCGCAAGCACAGGACCCTCATTCCACATCAGATCAAACCCACCAATACGTTTCTCCTTGCCAGTCAACCTAATAATCACAGAAGTGATAAAAAAAAAAATTGATAAACAACATAAACATAAATGTGGTAAAAAGAGTAGCATCTGTTGTACTTAGAAATATAATGTATAATCTAATGTATTCTCTCTATCAAATACATGTACAGTAGGGATGTTAAATTAATTTCATTATTTTGTATGTTGAGAAGTAATAAAACCAGATCAATGAACATAAATGTAAATTGGAATCTAGTAAATTATTTACGGAGAAAATACATTCTATAGAATTCTATACATTAATGTATAAGTACTCTACAGCAGATACTTTAAATCTGTTTACTTATTTAATTCATTAAGGCACACAGCACATGCACCAAACATTGTCAATAGCGAATATATCACTCTACTACTTGTAGGTGACAAGCTATTTTCCCAAGACAAAATAAACACACACACACAAACAACGCTTTACACAAACTTAATCTCAATATGAGGAAGTGGGGTTATTTTGGTTGTAAGAAAAACATTTAGCAACACTGACAGGAATCGAACCCAGGACCTTGGGATTGGCAGGCAAGCACTATCTCAACCACATGTATACAACTAATTGGCAGGCTTTTAAATGCCTCCGGGTTAAAGGTCAATGCCTCTGACCGCCGGTCACGTGGTCCCGCACTTTTTCCAGCCCTGCTAATTCCAAGTAAGACTGTCATTATCAATACAAATTATCATAATTATTATCATTTATTTAAAAAAAAAAACATTCTCAATTACGGTATATGCATTTATAATTAAACATTATGGTAGATATCGTAATCTGTAAAGCATACATTTAAATTAAGCATTTGATGAATGGAGAAATAAAAGTGAGATGATCCCGCACAAGACAAGAAAAAAAAACCACAGAATAATTAAATGACGATGATAGTGACGTTGATGATGATGACATTGATGATGATGATGATGAATAAAAGTTGGATGATCCCACAAAAGACAAGACAAAAAATGACAGAATAATTAAATGACGATGATGATGAGGTTGATGATGATGACGATAATGATGAAATTAACGATGATGATAATGGTGGTAATGCAGATACAGGGGTAGCGCCAGTGGAGAGCACAAGGGCCGCCCCCCCCCCCCCCCCCCCCCCCCTGTCGGGGAGAAAAAGCACAATTCGCTGGGGAGGAAAAAAATTGTATGTATTTTCTACATATTAGTGTACTCCAAAATCGATTAAATACGCCTTTGAAACACCTAAATTGTCAAAATGTTTATGGGGGCTTCACCATCTGGGCCACTTATGGAACCTTTTTATTGAAGCTCAACCATGTCCACTTTTATTTCGTCGGGGAAAGCTGGCCCCTCGTCATGACCCCCCCCCCCGTAGGGTACCTCGGTCCCCGTCGGGCAAATTCTGGCGCCACCCCCGTGATGATGATATTAATAGTAATAAAGTTCTGAATCGTGGAAACTAATTGCAGTCAACACTACACTTGTTTTCCTGACTTACAATGCAGAAATTCACAAACTTACTTGTTCTCTTGATCTACAATACAGATGACATCTTCTAAAAGTCCATACTTTAGCTCATAATCTTCCTGGTTACTAGCTGTTAGAGACGGTGACGCATTTATCTCAATTAACCACCTGGATGAGAAAAGTTGTTAAATTATATTACACTGCTGACCAATCAAAACAAATTATGAGGTTGTTATGTCATAGAAACATAAGGTCTTGGCTACTGATAAATTATACTACCTTTTTAAAGACGGGATTGAGAATGGAGAGTGATAAATTAGACCTACATGAATAGAGTCCAGACTGGACAAGAACGAAGACCACTACCAAAAAAACACCATCTGTCCTCTCACCACCATAGAAAAATTGTTTAAGGGGTAAATTGATAGTGTAATAAGTTGTAATAAATTTTATTTATATATTGTTAAGTTTTGGTTTTTAAGGTTGCCATTACAAATGTTAATTTTTGTAGAGCAATACTGTTTTCCAACATTCAATTGCATAACTGGGTGGAAGTATGATATATTGGTAATTTAGTGTTTATCTGTTTGACCGGTAGATGATGCTTTGTTGTAAATGGCTAACATACTAAAAAATTTACATTAATTAATCATGATTTGTTTTTAATTGGTTACATACTATTGACAGACCGGGAAGGATTTAAAGCAGCCTTCACGTGGCCCTCCCTGCAAGTAACCCTAACACCTGTGTGAAAGTAATGCTTTATACCTGCACTTGTAAATAAATATTATAATTTACAATGCATATGTGAAAAGAAGAAGACAGACCGGTTTGATACTAAGTTTGTAATCAGCTTGGAAATGAGGTAAACTGTCCATCGATTGGATTGGATTGCATTGTATTTATTCAGAGTAAATACCAAGATTAGCCCACGAAAGTCTAGAAGAAGACATATTTCCATTGGGGTCCTTCTGGTGGTGAATGGGCAGTGCACCGGGAGAAAATCCCCATCTCTTTTCTGAAGAGTATACTGCGTTCTGCGTGCACATGGGCCATAAATGTACACAGGACCAACGGCTTAAATGTCTCATCCAAAAGACGCTATTTTTTTTTTTTTTTAAGGTGCGCTATTTTTCCTTATATTTCAGCCCTCCAGCTGAAACACAAGGAAAGGCAGCGATGGGAATTGAACCTGGGACTTAAAGATCTCCACGCTTCAGCGCACACACAGTGGCTACCACCACATTACACAGTGGCTACCACCACATTAGCTGACTGAGCTAAGCTGCTCTCTCTCATCAACATCATGGGACAAGTGTGAGGTACTTATAAAGTTAAGAACAATTATGACAGTTTTATCTTTGGTAGAGTTTTCAAGTACAACAGACCAGATACAGCAGAAGTGTGTAAGTCCCACAGATAAAAATGGCAGTAGAATATTAAGGCAAACACATCATACATTTTACTGTATCATGTTATATCAAACAGTAAAGTAACAAGGACAAAAGATGGTAAGAAGACATCAATTTAATGCACAACTATTTAAAAGAAATAGTAAAAGTTGTTATGGTTTTACATCCACATCTACCTAAAATAGTGTAAGCCATCAATTTATATTAATAGTGAAACAACTTTAGAAGAAGTAGCAAGTTGATACTTAACGGTTTGAGATCCACATCTAAAAGGACGTCATAACCGTACAGCTCAAAGCAGTGCTTATCATTTATCATCACCTTCTTCACACTTTGCAGCGAGTATATAAAGATATCATTCATCAATTGAAATGTTTTCTCCACCTTATACAAACAATAACAAAACTTATCATGATGTTTGATCATTATATTATATAAATATCAAGACATTCTGTAATCGGTCACTGTCATAATAAATGTGATGAAATAAAATTCAAAATAAAAAGATTTTGACCAGGGGCAAGTTTGCTCATCAAGGATTTGCTGCGCTAGTTTTCTTTTGCAATTAGAGGGTGGAATCTACAGTACCAAATTTTTGTCGGTAGTATTTTAATAAAGCCCAACACACACACACACTGCATCATGTGATGTTGTCTGATCGTCAAACAACCATGCGCTGATGAATCCATCTCTTTGTGAGTGCTTGATGATACAAGGCCAGATTGTTGGTCGTAGTCCGAGGGTATCTCTCTGTACTGGTTGTGTTGTGATCTTTATGAAATCACAATCAATGGTGTACCCAGGTATACAAGGGGTGAACAAAAAATAGAATAATGGAAATGAAAGCAATGTTCAGCAAGCAAGGTGGACAGTATATGATACATAAAATATAATAATAATAATAATCATAATATTAATAATAATATTATAATAATCTCGAGTTTGTGGTTTCAATCCGTCACTGTGCATTTCACTTGTGTCCTTGGACAAGGCACTTTATCTGCATTGCTTCTCTCCACCCAGGAGAATAAGTGGGTACTGGTAGGGTTAAATGCCAAAATGCGCTGATGTAGCTGCTCCCCCAGGAAGCTTGAGTTTGTGTTCTATAAGTGTTTAATCCAATGACAGGGGTAATGATAATGTGAAGCACATAGAGGGCTTAACAATAATGCGCTATCTAAGTATACCATTATTATTATTAATAATAAAAATTATAATAATAATAATAATAATAATAATAATATTAATTATAATAATAATAATAATAATAATAATAATAACAGAAATTTATAAATATATACCAACTGCAAGTAATTTAAATAATAATTCTTTTTTCAAGCTTTCTGGTTGAACAAAGACTGACACATCTGAAATGTCTTTGGAAATTCAGACAAAAATGGTGCATATTCTTACGGTCTCAATCCCATATCTTGCTGTCAGGTACTGTCTTAGCTGCTGCATTGACCACTTACAACCCTTCTCTGGATCGTAGTCGGGCGCCGTCTTCTGAACAGCAACATTTGTCAAATGAACATCTGTAATGAATACTGTTAAGGGTAATGACTTTTTCTTAACCAATAATATGTTTGACAGACTTACATAAAACATAAATTTTCCTAATATATGTAGAGTACCCCAAATAATCCAGTACTTTTTAGCAGTGGCATATCTAGGTAATGGTAGAATATTACATTCGCAGTGTCATTGTGATAAATTGCGTATGGGCATGGTCCGCCATGACTATCCAGCCGCCCCGTAAAGAAGCGCTTACAGTACCTACATGTTCACTCATTCCACGACAGGACCTGAAATGAACCGTAGTATTTAGATTGGGATAACCACCTACTCTTTGAAAAGACACGAGACATGAGGCAGATGTGTACACGACCTCCATTTATCCTCCTTCTGAGAGGAGACTTGGTTCTGCCAACTAAACCCTGGGTTAGCTAGAAGTGGCTTGAATCAGCACCGATATTAAGGATGTAGTTAGTGGTGCCCCTGCCTTACCACTCGCCAACTCGACTGATTTAACCATCGAGCACCCACTTCACCTTCGTGCCCCATCAGCCCTCCCCATTTCAATATTACTAGATACGCCACTGTTTTCCTGAAAATATTGAGCTGAGCCTTCAAGTATGAATTTGGCCCATAATAATAACAAACAGATATAAACACATATGATTTTCAGTGGCGGACCGTAGGGTAAATTGCAGGGTATGCTAAGTATTGGCATATCTAGGATGTGCAAGGGTCGCGCACGTCTCTCCCACTTAAAAATAAAAATCACCTCAAATCACCTTATTTTGCAAGTTAGCCGCCTCACCTAATGACCGATCCCCACTTTACCTTCTCACCCCCATCAGCTCCCTTCCATTTCAAGATCCTACGCCACTGCTGCTAGGGCCTGCTAGTAGGAAAAGTTTGTAAGCCTACTACTATACAGGATCACCTGATTGGCAGTGGAGGTCCCAATTTGTGAGAAGAAAAGCATGTACACATACTCTTGGAAGCACTGCTTCCATTACAGTGTTAAATTGGCTATTCTGACGCAACCACACGGTTGTCACAATAGCAAATTTAAGCGTTGTAGGGTATGCTCTGACTTCCATTGACTCACTGAATACGTGATTTGTTAATATTAGAAACCAGCTATGCAGAACATAGCTAGCCAAACATTGAAAAACTTTGCTATTCCAATGAACTGAAACAATCCACTCGAAAAATTAAGGTTTATATAGAAGATTGTGGCTAAGAAATGCTAAATCAAAAGCAAAAACTGTTACTACTATATTTTTCAAAAATTTGTTTTAGCCAGGGTATGCACTGCATATGCCTTGCTTGCCTTAACGGTCCGCCATTGATGATTTCTCATCAACATGAATTAAATATCACAAAGGATACATGTATCATCGATGGACTCCAATGAGAACCTTGTGTTTGAGAATCTTGCAAAACCACTTCTATAAAGCCATGCCTTCAATGGAATATACTACCAAAAAAAATTTAAAACAAAGTACAAGATTATTAACAATTACAATGCACAGTACATCATGTGACATGACAACAAGTTTCCTTTATCAACATCACTCATACACGTTGAGTGAATCCAAAAGCCGATCCAATGATTTAAGCAACTCAACCTCAGGGAGCAGAGGATGGATGACTTTTACAAAGAAGAAATGAGTGGGGTGGTGTGTGTCTTATAGGCATTTAGTAATATTATCAACACACACATATTGCAATGATGACTTTTCCTTATCTAAAGCCGGGAGGAACAACTTGCAGAAGAAGAAGGCACTTTAAGATAAAACAATCAAATCTCTATAAAAACACCTTTATAAACAGACACAAAAGTGATTAAAAATATACAATTTACACAAATAAGCAGTGATAATAATTCAGAGTTTCTCTTTCAAATGGAAAAAGGAAAATGAGAATAATGATTAAATGTGTATTGACAATAGGTGCTGTATACAGCTGAGCTCTAACAGTCTGGACAACATTGATGAGAAAAGGGATCAGTGGAAGACAAAGAAAGAAACAGAGAGATGGAAAGGATCTGTACTGGGGTGGTGTGAGTTGGTGTAGCAAAGCAAGAAATATATTACAGTAATAAAAGGCAGCATGCTGAGGCTTTTGTCCTGCAGTGGACTGGCAATATTTGACTGTGATGATGAGGACTACATAGACCGTGCTATGTTGGACAATTTCATGATTTTTTTTATGGTAACTACAGGAAAATTGACACTAAGTATTACTTAGTGTCAACTTAAAGATCATTCATAAAATCATGCTGTTACCTTTATAATAGTTATGTTAAATTTTCATGATAGTTTATAATTGTTTATGTCTAACATTATAGGTTTTGATCTATCAATCAATCCTTCGATCAATCAATCATCTTTCTAATCATTCAGTGATGTAAACTTGTTTAAATATTTAACCTCTATTAATCACAATTTAGATTTATTCTGATTTTTCACCTTCATTTTACCTTTTTATAAATACCATAATGTGTGACTAAATGCCTGACCGACAGATGTGTATAAGAGACAGATATATATATATATATATATATATATATATATGTGTGTGTGGAATTTTCAAGTATCTTGAACTGACCACTACTAACAGTTTTGATGTTCATTACACGAACATCATCTTCGGAGTGACGGCACTATTTTTAATCGACCTATATATATTTATTATAATGATGCCATCGAATATATATTCTAAATGCTAACAGGGCATCTCATACCAATAAGAAGGAAGGCATCACAAGACAGAGAGTAAAAGCCAGGCTCCTGAGAAAACATTTTTTGATATGTTGTAGGTGGAAAGAGGGTGGTTACGCCCCTTTTTCCCCCAGTTTTTGAATATTAAAAAATATTTATCCCTAATAACCGCTAAAGAGTTTTTCACAGCAACATAACTTCATGATGACGAACGGTTGAAACACTCACTGATGTGACCAGCACATAAATTCTAATGTCAAACTTTCTCCCTCCAATAAGATATGGTCGTTCGATGTAGCGAGATACTATGTATGTCTCTGGTGGCTCCTTGTCATCGGTTTTGTCATCTCGGATACGATAAACATCACTCTGTTGGTAATAAAGAAAAACAAACCATGATTAAAAACATACATAATTCTTGTCTCTAATACATTTGTTGCATAACATAAACACATTATAGGCCAGGCTCTTCCTGACTGTCTGCATAAAGGGGTGAGTGGGTCACAGTTCAATTTTAAATTTACTATTAAGTGTTAAACAAAAAAATTGTGGAACACTATATTAGATGATTAAAAATGAAACAGATTTCATATAACACATTAGTTCATGTTTGCCAGTAATACACACAGAGAAGAGAGGGAGGGTCAAGGAGGTCCTTTTAACAATTTTAAAATATCCCGATTAGTAGAAGTAAATGTTGACCCTCAGGTCCCCAGCCTAGTTGCTCGCTGCGCTCGCAAGGCTTGACATCCTCAAATTTTACCCTAGCTGTGCCCCTTGCAGCCACACCACAGTTAGGCACTAACAATATAAAAAGATATTTCTGGAAAAGGAGGGTATTTTTCGAATGCTTCAAACTGCCCTGGATGTAGGCATGAGCTTTGCTAAAGTATATATAATGCTATACACTGCTGGCTAATTGTAGATTATGCACTTTGTAAAAAAAGCTTTCATCAAGTTTCAAATAACTTCCATTATTAAGGATACCGTTCAATTTAAAATGGAAGCAGATTCACCTAGACAATGCACTTGAAATGACAAAAAAGGGCATGTCTAGTAAATACAGAACATTCAGCCAATCAGCATCTAGCAGTCTTGTCCATGCATCACTGGCACTTAGCCACACTTGACAACAAGCAGAATGGCAAACATTGCTGTATAGATTTTTAAAATCAAATTATATTCACAAATGGTTGGACAGCTATCAAAATGATTTCCAATCGCTTTATATAACAGACATAATTTTCAGCAAATGTGTTTTATTTGAATATATATTTCTTGAATAATTTAAAAACTTATAAATGCACTGGCCACTGTGTAAAGCCCTCTTCAAACTATCAAATTTTATGTGCAAGAACATTTATGCCTACAAATGGCAATGATGACATCACATCCTGACCATATATAGGCACATCATGACTATATATGGGCATACAACAGTTTTTGGTCCACAAAAATATCATAGTCTGTACAGAGCTAAACATTTGTCATGCGAGTCAATTTTTGTTTTCTCTGCGATCTCACCTTTTTCCAGTCTGTAATGTCTTTGAGCTTTCTGAATAAGAAGATACCCTTGCCTTGGGACTTCGCCACTGGTTTCATGATCCATATGGAGCCTGGACATCTCTTAAACTCATCCACAAACATATGATATTCTGACTGAAAAGTTGGAGAGAGGAATTAAGAAAAGGTTTGTAAAAAAGTGTTGTTTATAAAATGTGGGTCTTCAGATTGTGAAATTGACTAAGTACGACTGATAAACTTTGTTTTTACTACTTAATCATGCAAAGATATCTTTTTGGAGCACCGGCAGAGAAAACTAAAACCGGTTTTCCACTAGTTAGATTTATTCGCAAAAAATGGAAAGTGTTGGTTTGCTTCCTGAGCTCTGATTGGTTGCGCATTTTATTTTGTTTCACAAAAAGTAGAAACATTTTGAACTACCAATTTCACTGAAGCGAAAACTCCGATAGAAACGTGAATGCGCGTACGCATGAACTGACACTTTCGACTTGCACAAATAAATTTGCCTAGTGGAAAACCGGCTTAAGGCTACTGGCACCTTATTGTGATTGGTCAGTTGAAAATTTAATTGACAATCTTGAAAGGTCTATTATACAAAAGGCATTTAAACCAGCAAATTACATGAATAAAGCATATTTCTGATTTTTTTCCCCCACTTCTAGAGGTCAGAGGGGAAAAATTCAAATAGGCCTGGTCCCCCCTGTCCTCCAACCCCATAACTGGGTCATCAGACAAAAATAGTATAAATTTGCCTACAAATAACATTGTTTTGATTGCTACTCCCTAATATTGTGGGCTAACAGCATAATTTTGGGCCATACTAAGTTATAAAAACACTTCCCAAGAAACCTACCAGGGATTTTATTAGGAACTCTGAGCTAGGCTCCAGTGGAGCCCTCGGTATCGGGACTCCACTGTCAGACTTATCAGCAACTATTCTATTTGAAGTTATGGCTAATTGAAAATCCAACTTTACAAATATGTCATAATTGAGAGCTAAAAAGGGGTATGAACCCGAAATTTCAAATTGGCGTAACTTCTAAACGACTTGGAATTGGCAAGTCGAATTGTGGGTTTGTTCGTTAGACATGTTGGTGCATATTATATCCGAGTTTCAAAAAAATCTGAGATGGTAAAAAATTTAAAATTTGTTGAGTTGGCATGGAATGACCCAATTCTCTGCCCAATCATATTACAGTATAACTGACCTTAAAGATACGTCAACATCTACCTTAAAAACATTATTTTAAATGTTATTTAATTACCTAACTTATTAAAATTCCCTTTTACCTTTAAATTGAAAAACTTTTAATTTTCTGTGCTTGTTGTAATTATATATTTCATTATAGTTTATCATTTGATTTTATATCTACATTTGTTTTTAACTGAACCACTCTGGAAATTACATTTGTAATGAGAGTGCATTTTAGGATAAAGAAAGAATAATTCCCCAAACAAGGAACCCCTTACGTAAAGAAAGAAAAAATATTTGTTGTCGTTATTGTCAAAAGAGAAAAAAATGAGGGCGCTATATTAAGCGCATGCGTCCTTTCACTCCAGGAAATTAATCATTTCTGCTCTTTAAAACAGGTAATGAAGCATTTTGTATTAACAATTTGTACTG